TGATGATGATGATGATGATGATGATGATGATGATGATGATGATGATGATGATGTTGATGATGATGATGATGATGATGATGATGATGATGTTGATATTGTTGTTTTTGTTGTCTTTTTTTAGAGAGACTAGGGTGTAAAAGACACAGCATGTCAATGTTTCAATCCACCGTCGACAATTAGTGAATTTATGGAGGGTATTGGAGCATACAGCACCCCAGGAGACAGACAGCGATACTCGATGATAAACAAACTTTTCACCCAAAGACTTTAACTTAAATGTCCCGCCTGCAACAACAAACAGTCTACCTTTACCATCGCGGACACAAGTAGGATAAGTTCAGAAAGCTAGCAGTACACTCCAGTGGTTCTGGGCTATATTATAGTGCTAGGCTCACTCATCAGAAGATGTCCTTTCAAGAAAGAGAACTGGACAACACATTAATTTCTTTTAAAATCACGAAAACATGATTGTTTATTGTGTTATTATAGCCAAACAAAAAGACAACCTTAGAAAACAGCTTTACTAATCGAAAACATTTGGAGCCAAAATGCTAATGCTCATGATATGAGTTTGTCTTTCGTTGGAAAGGGGGAGGGGGGGAGTGTCGAACACCGATCTGTAGAAGTGTAGAATATTTTCAGATGGTTTGGCTTTAAGACTACGTTACCTTTTGACCCTTTTATCTTTTTCATTTACATTGTCTGTTAATAATATTTCTTCCTTTAAATAACTTTCCGTTTTAATTACTTACCTAAAGAGAACCAGATTACCTGGAAGATTGTTTCATCGTCCCACAAAATATTTCTGGAAGAGAGGAAGTTGGCTAAGTGGTTGTGGTAGCGGTGGAAGACAATGTGAAGTGCAGACAGCGCCGGTTGTTCATTGACCCGTGTGTCACCTGGGAAAAGAACACATTATGCAGTTGAGAGTGGGGGAAAACGTCATAGATTTGATTTCGATTCCCGAATGGAATGGAATAAAGAAGTTATGGCCTTTGTAGTTCTTCGTCTGTCTGCTGGGATCTTGTATCACATCAAGCGCCTAGGAAACCCCTGACAGGCAGGGTAGAAGTAGCCCGCTTCCTAAATAATCTAAATGATGTCGATGGAGGCGTTATACATTTCGTTGGCGCTCCATTGAAACCTCGTTAACCTAAATTTTGAAATTTTACCGGAGAGACCCCCAAAAAGATGTTAAAAATTATTAATGTTAGCACTTAGGCAATCCAATTTTGTTAATGTATTTCAGATAGGCCTTAGACAAAATCCTGTAAAGAAGCGTGTGTTTAACCTAGCACATACAAAAACATCCTTTGGTTAGCGAGGTTCTCCGCCACAAGCGCTGCTCAATGATGAACCTCGTACAGGAGTTAGAGAAGTTAACGGTGAGAGGAAAGGTTGTCCATCACACGATCGCCGCTCCACCCCTCTTTGCAAAGGACTGCGCACTTGGTGGGAGAGGCGGTATAGGGCTGCATTGTTTCGTCATCGCGTTGTTGATTACTGTTACGACATGCTTATCTTGTCAAATTGTTTATGTTTTGAAAAGGCACCGTTCGATTGGTGCAGACTAAAGATCGCTCACACTGACCCGCGCAATTAAACTTTCTTGGTACCGATAGGCTCATTACCGATCGAACTCAAAAGCGTTGCTCATCGTGTTTCTCATTCTCAATCTGTCAATTTCTTATTCTCTCAAATTTCAAATTCAAGTCAACAGGCATTGATCTAGGACAATGGCCGAAAAAAGAAAAATCTTTGTTCTGACCCTATCTTCTCTGCTTTCCTTGATTCTCTGATACCGCCAATGCCATAACACTGTTCACGTATCCCTCGAACTACGGATCCTTCGAACTACCGAAGCTGGTCCCGACAAATTTGAGGTGTCCATGTTATACTGTATATTTATCTCTTTCTCCCCCCC